TTTTTTTTTTTTTTTGAATATGTGTTGAGAAGAAACATGAATTATATAATTCGAAGGAAACTGAAAATTAGTTTCGAAGGAGTTACCTGTACAACTTTTTGCCGAGTGATTTATTGGTTCGAAAATTTGCAGCTTGGGATTGGAAGAAAACTGGTGCATGTGACTGTGAATTAGATGATGATGAAAACAAATAGAAATAGTTGCTCCAAAGTGAAGAATTTACCTAGTTGAATGCTCAAGATTTCTTGTGAAATTTTGACAGCCGTGAGTGAATATTTGGAGATGGAATTGATTGAATTTCTAGGTTTGACACAATTGAGCCATATAAACGTAGGCTCCAGAATTTGGTTAGTTGATTTGGGTTGATAATGGACTTAGGCTTGGGCTAAAAAGAAATACTGGACCAAGAGAAATTTTAGAATCGATGTGGTGTAAAATTCGACCCAATAAGGAAATATTGAATTTTTAAGTTTAAAAATCGTTTTTGAATTATTATATTAAATGTTTTGCCAGACGACCCGACGGACGTAAAATAATTTCTAAAATTTAACGGAGATGTCGTAGCGACACGACTTAAATTATAAAATTTACATTTGAAAATTCGGGTCGTTACAGTCAACCATCATTTTTATCCAATTTCTCAATAAAGATATGTGAAATAATGAATATAGTCATATTTAAATAAAAAATATATTTTTTTATTTCTAATTCTTTAATAATTTTTTGGGACTCGTTTGCACTTTTTTATAAAAAAAAAATTAATATTTTCTAAAAATTTGTTGGGGATTCGTTTGCACTTTTAAAAAAAAATTGGGACTATGATTACAATTAATTCTTTAAATTTTTTATTTAAATAGGATGTTATATTCCTCATTTCACTATTTTTTTTTAAATTGAGAAATTGGGTGAAAATGGATAGAAATGATGGTTTGCGCTGTCAAATGTATAATTAAGGGAGAAAATGCAAAAAAAAAAAAAAAGGTAGGGACATTTTTTGGAATAATAGTGAAAGGTATGGACATTATGTGCTAAACTCATTTGCGCTTTTCAAAAAAGTTGGGACTATATTCGCAATTAACTTTTTTTAATTTAAAGGGAAGGGTATTATCGTCATTCACAATTTTTAATTGAGAAAATTGATAAAAAGGACCTTTTGCGCAATGAAAGATGAAAATAAAGGTGAAAATATTAAAAAATGAAAGGTAATGACGTTTTCCACAATAACAGTGAAAGATGGCGGCGCTATGACTTAAACGACAATCTTTTAAACTTTAGCCAAACATGAAATTAGAAATACTGTTAGGCAAGTTACGCTGTTGTTGCACTCCGGCTGTCCGGCAATTGATTTTTTTTCTCATAGTCACATAATTTGATTTAGAAACTGTCTACTGCATTTGTAATATATTAAACTTCACGTCAAGTGATAATCATTAATTTGGACGATTCTAATCCTATTATAATTCAATTATTTCAATAATATCTTATTTTTTATTTTTCAATATGTATTTAATTTATTTAGCCATTTAGTTATCATCAATAATAAATATATGTACATTTAACATATTCAATTCACTTGTGTATTTTCATTAATATATGAATTCTCTATTATTAATTCTCAATCAATTAACGTTCACGTTCATTTAATTAATATTCATATTCATTTATGTGTTAATTCATTTCATTATTTACGTTATTGTATGCTAATTAATATTCAATTTTACGTAACTGAAAATTAAATAAATAATTTAACATTTATTGTCGTGTATATATTCCTTGACATTAATTTTAAATTAATTAACATTCAATTATATTTAAATATTATTTTTACGACACTTATAAAGTATTTCATAATAACGTGTAACACACGTTCAACGCAGATTAAGTGGACTTTAATAGCACAAATACTGATATGAAGGAAATTGCAACTTTGGACCTTGACGTTTTAGTGATTATCCAAAGAGAACCCATAAATAAATAGCGTACTTGACTAGTTGATGCTGTCTCCATTTCCACTGCAAATGGATGTTTTATATTATTCAGTCAAACACTCCATTCGTGTTTTGTTCCAAGCACAAATAATGAGAACAAGGCCCAGAAATTCAAGGGTATATTACTTATCATGAATAACTTTTTTATTTCTCTATCATTTGATACTCGGGAAACCCAATTCAATGTCGAAGCATCATATTGCATTTATTGTTCTGGAATAAAGCGATGAATTGATCTCTTGATATTTGATACAGTACTCTTGGCCAAATGTGGTACCGTTTGGAAGTTGGTGGAATATAAGGAGCACACCAATTTCAATCAGATTACAGAACAATAAGTAAGATTCCAGCGACAGAAGCCACGCCGTTGTACCGGAAGAATTATCCGGTATGCTCTGGTTTTGCTACTTGTCTCGTCTATGATTTCTTTTTCCTTATTTTTAAAAATAATATTTTGCTCTCTGCGATAATGGTAGTTTCTAATTAGGTTTGTTTTATAAGATCAATTGAATCGAGAAGTTTAAACTATTTTCTGCTTTTACTCGAAAAATATGCTGTAGGATGAATTGAACAAGTTAATTATATGATTTTTACCATAAAATACTCAATTTATTATTTTGTTGTGAAGATAATATGCAATGGTGCGAAAACTATGTTTTGAAGTTTCGGCAGCAGCTGAATTTCTTGTTTCGATACGACGGTTATCCAATCAATTGATTGATTGCATGTGTGCCACGCGGATAATTGGGATGATTTTGGTGATAATTAGTTTTTTTTTGTGATTAATCCTTAATCAGATTACATTGCCGGAAATTTTTTTTTTATGGAGGCACGAAGTAATATCTATCGGCCAAGATACGATCGGATCACACGACCGGTCACTGATAGTCTCAACCTCAGGTAAGCTTAGCAAGAACAGTTTTCTATCCTTGTCTCTTCTTATTTTGACTTTTTGAATATATGCAGCATCCAGGACATAAATCCTAAAAGAAAAAAAGTAGGCTTTATTATTTTACCGTTTTATTATTACTTTCACCCAAAAAAATGAGAATTTTTACCGTTGGAATAGTACCTAACCGCTATAGTTGACCATTTTGTGAGTGAGTGGGCCCCACTATTTTGAAAAAAGGGTCAAATTTCTCATTTTGTTGTTGAGAGTAGTGTAAACAAACAGTAGCATAGTCCTTTTGTTCATAGATTGCTTATCCTTTCTGACTGGAGGTCTTCTACCAGTAGGCCCTAAGGATCCTTCTACTTTTGGTTGCTGAATATACATCGACGTTATTTAATTGTAAATGAAAAATACGCAAACCGTGTTTAGCTTCCCTGATACTGTGGTTAAATGCCTGTCGACTTTCCTTCTTTCCCACATATTGTCCAATCACAATAAATGCTATCAATCTCAACTTTGTTTTTGGATCAAGAAACATGGTCTTTTATTCTTTGTTGTTGGCAATCTCGAATATGGGAGTCCCATCCTATCTGTCTTTAGAATGCCATCATTTTCTCCATTTAGTTCTCCATTATATTCATCTTCCTATTTTTAGAAGGTAGCCATCCATTCTGCAGATACATTTGCTTCACTCCCAATATGTGTTGAGCTGTGACAATGCATTGTCATAAGAGGAAAGTATTTTCTCACCAAAAATCCAAAAGCCTCGCAGGATGTGGCGCTGAAGTTGGGTTTTCAGTTCATTTGCAAGGTTTTTATCTTGTCTTAGCTCACTGGTGACAATCTTCCATCCCAAGAACCAACTTTTTATGTTGGAAAATCTCCACAAAATTTGCAGTGATATTTTTTAGGGAATTTGATCAAGAAAAGTTCTATTTTGGATCATAACTTTCAATACAGTTGAAAGGATCATTTGATAGAAAAAGCATGAATTGGCTCAAATGTATGTTGCTAATAAAGGGAAAATTATAGTTGAAAACTATAATTTATATGAGGAAGTAGGAAGTGCGCATGGGAATTTGTGAAACTTTTGTAATTGAGAAAAACCATGATTCTTAGCGATTAAGTAGTGAGGAAAGAGGGGAATATAAAGCAGAAAAGTCTCGGAAAAGTGGATTTTTTTTTATTTGAACGGGAAAGGGAGTAGGATTTTTTATCTTTCAATTAGTCATATGGGAAAACTAGCTGCTCGCGTAGCCAACTGACGTTTTGCAGCATGTAGCTTATTCCTGGAATGCACACATTCCTCCCAGATTATTACTAGTTCAACCCAGCATATGCAGTCTCTAATTTGGAACACTTATAGAATTGAGCTTGTATGTCATCTGCTCTCTCTCTCCAACTTAGAATTCCATGGTTTCCTTGCTATAGTTGCTGGCCATGCAACCCAAAGATTTTAGCACATTTTTCATCTCATTTACAAGCTCATTCTGATACTAATCTAGCATGCACTTGAATCTTGATTAAGTGTTCAATCCTTCAAATGATTCTACCTGCGCTTAAATGATGCAAACATTTCTCTAATTTTGTAGGATGTTCGTGGGGACATGGAATGTAGGAGGTAAGATACCACATGTTGGACTGAACTTGAGAGAATGGTTAAAATCTCCCCTACCAGCAGACATATATGTGCTTGGGTATGCAATCTCTCCCTCCTTAATTAGTTCATTTTAGAATACAGAAAAAAAGTTATCTCAATGAATTTGTGGTAAATTATGCCCCTGTTTGATGCCATCATTGTGTATGAATAGTGATTTTTGGAGAACACGTGGTTAAAAAGTAAAGAAAAATTTTGGATTTACGTGCAAAATACTTTATTGTGTGAATGTGTGGTTGAAAATGAGTATGAGAAATAAATTATTTTGTTTTAAAGGGAGTTAAACTGGGGCTATATCTCAATGAATTCGATCTTGGTTATATGAATATTTTTTTGTGCTATGTTCTACCTTTTAGTAATTACTGAAGGATATAATATTGGGATCACAACATTTTTGTAAATTAGGGGCTTTTCATGTCAATGCGGAAAATGTTTCTGCCATCCAGTATTCTGCTATTTTGACTTGTTCTCACCATAATGGTTCTTTTAACGTACCAAAATTAGAAATTATCACCACCTTTTAGACAAGAAACTAAAAAAATAATCTTCAAAATTATAATATAATTTGGCAGAAAGAACAGCGTTGTCTATAGTTGAAGCAAATTCAGTGAATAGATAGATCAACCATAAAACATACTAAAATCCTCTGATTTGAGTTCAATTTTCCCCACACATTTGAACACTAGTCTAGTGTTATAATAATACTATACACGATAGACATACTTCAAATGAGATTCCTCTACTTCCTGCTCGGCATTGGAACTTTTCTTGATTGTTTTCAGATTGAACAGAAAAGGATACCTACCTATATTTCAGTAAGATGGTAACAATTTTTAACATGTCTATTGCAAATTAGGTTCCAGGAGATTGTGCCTCTGAATGCAGGCAATGTACTAGGCCCTGAAGACTGCAGTCGAGCTATTAAGTGGCTTTCCTTGATTCACCAAGCTCTGAAAGGAAAACGAAATGACAACTCAGAGCAGCCTGCTAATTGCAGCAATACGACTAACTGGGACATGCAAAAGTCATCAGCCCCCAATGACCAACAAAATACAAGAAAGAGCCACTTGGACTCGATCCCGATAGAAGATCAGCATGATCAAAAGAGCTCGGAAATATTTAGAAGTTTGAGCCCTGATTCATGCTCACGTGAAGAAAACTCACCTGTGCATCATCAGTTCTGCTTGGCTGCCAGTAAGCAGATGGTAGGGATCTTTTTATGTGTTTGGGTTCGAGCAGACTTATATCAGCATATTAGCAGTCTGAAGGCTTCGTGTGTTGGAACAGGCATTATGGGATACCTTGGAAACAAGGTACATATAACCCACGTTTTTAGATTTCTAGTTATAATCCGCCATCTCTGAACCATGATCGTGTCTTGAAAAAAATTTCAACTCTATTTAAAAATGAATTTCTATTGATTTAGTTAGTACATGATATTTCTTAATGACTCATTACTGGATTTCTTGATATAATATATTTTTTCACTTGAATTTCAGGGGTCTGTTTCTATCAGTATGACATTGTATCAGACAACATTTTGCTTTGTTTGTTCTCATTTGGCATCCGGGGAGAAAGATGGAGATGCATTTAGAAGAAATTCAGATGTTATGGAGATTTTGAAGAAAACAAGGTTTTCTCATCCTTGTAAAATGCTAGGAAAACCGGTTCGACCCGATTGCATTTTGGATCATGAGTAAGATTTCCTTATCTCCATATTGAGAAGAAAAAAGAAGCAAGAGGCATTAATGCTTTGGTTTTGTGTAACTAACTTTTCATTTTATCTTAACTAGCAAGATAATTTGGCTTGGAGACTTGAACTATCGACTTGCATTTGTTTGTGGGGAAACATATGAGCTACTGGAAAAGAATGATTGGCAAGCACTTCTAGAGAAAGATCAGGTCAGAATCGTCAGATACTTATTTTGGATTCCGAAATCAATTAGAAAAAGGAAAAAATAAAATAAAAAAAGAAAGATATGAACTATTTTTCTTTAATTAAGTCTTTGAAAAGGGGTGTTAATTATTATGGCAGTTGACAATTGAACAAAGAGCTGGCAGGGTATTTAAAGGCTGGGAAGAAGGGACAATAGATTTTGCTCCAACCTACAAATACCTTGTGAATTGCGATCATTACACTGTCCAAGCGCCCATATCCAAAGAGAAGCAGAGGACTCCTGCCTGGTAAGATGGATTTCAATTTTGAGGCGGCATACATCCTCCATGTATTCTGTTAGTACGTGATTCCACGTGGCACAAAATTGTCCAATATGGATGCCAGGCTAGACCCACTGATAAACAGGGAAGCCACATGGCCAACCAAGATAATGTCACTACAAAATAATGGTAGGCGAAGCTTTGCCAGAATTGCTTCACAAGGACAAAGCTATAAAACCTGTTCTCCTGGGTTTCACCCATACAAGGACGAGCCTATGAACTTGTAGAACTCCTCCTTGCTAAAGATAAGTGATTTGTTTGACTCTCCCCCAATGGGTCGAACCTTGATGACCGAACCAATCACTTGAGTTTAATTGGATACCAGCGTAATATCCCAATCGAAGATATAGAAGTACTCAAACACCTTGGCCCCCTAAAGAAAGCAAATATTTATCCTCTTGGCCATGTGGCTGCAAGGATAGCTATTGGGTGGCATAACGGTTAGTGAGCATATGAAAGGATGATATGAAAAATCTCATGAAAGTGAAAATCCAGCTAATGGATGAGTGCCATGCAATATGGATGGAACTAGTGCCGGATCCGAGAATGTTGGTAGCTAGGGTGATCGTCGACGACCGCAACAACGAGTTCGTTTATTAAAATTTAATTAAATAATATTTAAAATTATTCAGTCAATATAAAAATATACTAAACCTAAAAATCATATACATATGAAAATATAATCAAATACAACCCAAAATAATAAGAAAAATACATAATGTAACCTCACTCTCTAACTTTAAGCTCAGACAACTGTATTTTTTTGGGTTTCATATTTTGAAAGCACTGCAAAATTGCCTCATTCTCAATTTTTTTCAAAAATCTCTTTCTCCATGTACACCACCAAATTGTCATTCAACTAGTCGTCTCCCATTTTGTTGCACAATTCACTCTTGATTAGATTCACAGCAGAGAGTACACTTTCAAACTTGCATTTGCCACATGTAATATCAAAACCAAGGTGNTTGCAATTGTCACATGTAATATCAAAGCAAATGTGATCAACTTATAAACCTGGGAAATAATAATAATTTGTTTCAACCAACTTCTGAGCTACGCAAGAAGTTGATTGAAACTTGTCGAGGTTCGAGTAGTATGAGTTCTTCACTAGTGAAGTCTAAACGATAGAATTGAGATAATAATTCACAAATTACAATTTCCAATTTAAACTATCACCAATTTTCAATTCCCAACACCAACAAGACAATAATTCCAATTTCCAAATCACAAAGCATTATTACAATTGAATAAATCATAGATTTAGAAATTATCATTTATCACGAATCACAAATTACAATTTTCATAAATAATCATTCATCACAATTCACAATACTAAATCACCAATCAAATTATCAATATATATAAAATATCACTTCAAGTTCTAAAAAAAATGGCATAAAAATGGACTAAAAAGAAGAGAGAGAGNACAATCATGGTTGGCTGGGGTGGGGCCATGGAAGGGAGATATAAGAGAGGGTTTGCTTTGCAATTGCCATTTTGCCTTTGGAATTGAGGCAAAACTTAAAGTTGGTATATACATACAGTACACTAAGGCAGTCCTTTGGGCCAAATGTTAAATTCTAAAAAAAGGCCCACTATTTAAAAAATAAAAAAAAGGAAAACTTCTCACCCACGGCTCGAGCGGCGAGCGGTTTGCCCAGCCTGTAGATTTTGGCAAAGCCATCACGAGCGACCCCGCCGACTCGTCGGGTACTAGCTCTACCGATGGATGGAACCGTCTAGAACCATAAATTGCTAAGAATTCTCTAATAATGAAGTGACATGTGTCCAGGGAAAGCATAAAGACTAAAAAGCATAGGTCTGAAATACCCCAGAAAATCATAAGGAAAGTAAGGATCCGTTTGATTGGTTTAAATTCCATGGAAAACGTTACATTCGAGAAATTCAATTTCTACTTTGGTTGTTTGATACGAAAGTGGAAATGAAGTTCGAATTCCAAGATACAATCACTTTAAACTTGTTTTTTGTTAATTTCATGGAAAATGCATACTTATGGGGTACTTGGGTTTTTATTTCGAACTTATATGGAATTTGAAAGTCTTTCCGCCTTTGCCAATCAAACGGACCCTAAGAGATTGAAAATACTAGCTAAATTCTTACTCTTCATCCGCTATCCTTTACTTGGCGGCAATTCTCCCCCTAAAGAAGCTCGTAAGGTGCTCCAGTGACTGGAAAAAGGCTATAGAATACTGGTTTGACAAGGAGGCGGCAAGGGATTTATTGGCTTCAAGTTTTCGAGGTCACATATTTCTTTCTAATAGAATTTAGACGTGGAATTGGATAATCTAATAAGGTAACTACATGTGACACTACAGACTACATACATATAACGACATGATGGCATGTTGTCTTAAGGTAGTTATTTGTTTGGATGAGACATTTATTTTTCTAGATAGGCATGTAGGACACGACTAGTTTCAACAGCCGTCTTGTTATGCATTCATGTTTCCCAGCAGCCATTGTTAAATGCTTACATCATTATACACAGAATTCTTCATTCTTGCAGCCATTCTGAATTAGTTCTGCCTCTCTCTTTCTTTTTGTTGAATAAAATAACAGGTGTGATAGGATACTGTGGAAAGGCAAGGGACTTGAGCAAATATCCTATGTAAGCGGAGAATCAAAATTGTCAGACCACAGACCAGTGTATTCACTATTCTCAGTGCAAGTAAGCAAAAGTCCACATCAATTATAAGATGAAACACAAGCGCATCTTCAACAGCTCCTGCTGTTTCCCTAAAAGAATTGTAGGTAGTGTTAAGGTAAATGAAAAATTGTTCCAAACCTAGGCACAAGCACAAAGTTTGACATAGAAAAAATGATGTCTTGTTTTGTAAGAGACGGTACTGAATAGCATTAAATATGGATAATAAGCTAAAATCTTATCCTTGCACTTTGGAGTCATTTTATGGTGTGTACGAAACATGGTACTTATGTTATTAGTCAAGGTCCAAAAAGCAACCAAACCCGGTGTCTTAGCCAGTTTATCAAATTAAGATGGAGTTCGCCATTTCCAAAGAATTCCATCCCAAAAAATCACCAAAATTATCCCTGACATCGATTCTAACAATATATCTATCTCAAACCATACATTAGAAGCATAAATTCATAGACTTTATCAAGATTGAGTGTAAAAATCAAAGAACCCATTCATAAAATCATAAAATTTAAACAATAAAAACAAAAACAAACCTTGATTAAATGTGTAGAAGATGATGATGGTGAATAGTGTTGAAGGTGATTTCTTCAGTGTAGAAAATTTTTTCCTCTTAAATGTGTAGAAAATTTTTTCCTCTTTTTTCTGAATTCTTCCCTCTTTTTTCCTTCATTTGAAATGAAGGGTATTTGAGAGATTTTGTTAGTTCAATCTGGTTGGAGGCCATTGTGGAAATTGGGTTGGGTCAATCAACCATTGACCACCATTTCCTCAAAAAGCAACCAAACCCGGTGTCTTAGCCGGTTTATCAATTTGAGATGGAGGGCACTGTGTCTGTGAGTATGGTATTCATCATTTGCACGATTCAAAATCCTTGGTTTTGTGGAGTTTGTGTATATATGGCAGAACAGCTGATGATGGCCAGTGCTCAACTGTCCTAGTATTGATTCCAATTGCTCTTATCTTTAAACCACACGGTGCCGACGCAGCTATGGATTTTTAATTTCCCTGCTTAATTATTTAACTAGATACCCATGGTTTAGTTCCAAGAGCCATATATTCCTTTTATTGAAGACACCAATAAAAAATTTATCTCCTTTAAACGATAGAAGGTTTTATTAAATGTTTTGAAATTGTTTTTTGTCGCTACCCATTAATTAGATGTAACATTCGAATCGAAGCGTGCATTAGGTGGCATGTTGGGAGTGTTTCACGCAACAAACGTTTGATGTACAAGTTAGAAACGATTTGTACACAATAAAAACGAAGGTATAAACTGTATTTTTCGAGAATATTACTTGTTGATCTTTTCGACATTACATTTGGTAGTATTAGTGAATTTGACGTAGTCTCAACCCTAGGTACTAACATCTTCTACAGTCTGACTACAACTAGCCACCATTGATTTCCTTTTCTAATTTGTGGGCTAATATAGTGGTTTTATATTAAACTGCGAGATGCGGAAATGGAATTATACGAGAGGAGATGTCTTTGGGAGCAGCTAAAGGAAGTGTCTAAACTCTAAGAGCATCCAGGGACCAGCGGGTACTTCAATTGGTCCTTTCTCTCTCGTCTTTCACCAGTGAGTGGTGAGTTTCCTTTTTTTCTAGGTAGGTACCTCTTGGATTCGGAGTTTGTTCCAACAGCTGCCATACGTGAGCTCCNACCACTCTGATTCAAACACGATTGATTATATAATCCAAGTTTGATTCGAAGAGCATGTTGATCATGCCATTTACAAGCATGAAATTTAAATTGTAATAAAGACTCAATAAATCAATCCGCGGCTGAACAGACCTCCATTTTTCTTTCCCATAATTTTAGTTTCACCGAATATGTCGCACCGCGAGCCTTTCAGGTCGGATCACCATACTCAAAAAAAAAAAAAAAAAAAAAAATTCTATCAATGGACTACATGGGAATTCCATACCTATACGAGCTCGTCTGTATGCATATGGTTCGGCAGTTGACTTTCTTGAACTTGGGAAAGAAAACGTAGAAGGCCAACAGAAGTTTTGTTGTAATACCAGAAAACATGAGCAACGAGGTAATGCTACCGTTGTCAACAGGCAAATATTAAAATTCTCCCACACATTCAATAATTCAGGTTACATAAGCTACTTAAAAAAGAAAAAAGTTGTGTTCCACAAAATTATACAGCTATTAGGTCTAAAGAAATGGTGGAACAAGGGCCAAACCTCCAACAATGCATCGTTGAAGGTTGCAAAGAATGTCTGGGCAGGATTGGTTTGTCTCAAGTAGATAATTCAGTTAAAGCTCTTTCTCAAGCTCAAAACTAAGGTTTCAATTTGCAAAACTCCTTTGTAACATCAAAATGCAGTCCCACTGCTCTTGGACTTCCCCATCAATATGTCTTTTGCTTCGTTAATTTTAGAAGCAAGATAGTGGCTACCACCTGCATCGGGATGATTTGCCACCATCACCCGCCTGTGTGCTTCCCTTATTTTATCTGCTGGAGTACTTTCCCTGTTCCAAGTTAGAATTAAAGATTAAAGTCAAGTGGCAGATCAGATGGAATATGAGAATTTCATCACATCAATGATAGTCCCAAAGAAATACGCTAAGCACAAAATAAACAGGTAAGAATATCATACCAATGAATTATCACTGAAAGTACAAAGAATAAAGCATATATGGAAGTACACAATATGATCTTTGGATCTAGGTGAAAGGGAAAAGATTCAGCAATTCAACTAACGCACCGCTAGCAATAGATTCATATTTATAAACAAACAGACAGGTAGCAATTATTTTGTATCCTCAAACTTAGAAAAACACTAATATGCTTTGTATTCCTTCAATAGATCAGAACATGAATAGAGGGAATGATGCTGAACAAGTAGCTGCGGAGAAGGAGAAAAATCTTCATATTTTCCCTTCGGGTGATGCATGCCAAGTTATCTCATGTGGGGAACCCCATCTTGGAATACCTACGTCTAGCGTATTTCTAGTAAGAAGTAACTAACACACGTATTAACATAAAAGCGATTTAACAAAAGGACCTCCAACAATAACTTGATGTCACTCATAACACATAGGAACATGAATACATACTTTTGTTGCCCTGCAATTAGATAAGAACACTAATAAGGACGAAAGAATTCGAAAAGTATCTGCACGTCTTTGAAAAAGGAAAATAAATGAGGAGAAAAATGAAAAATCTCCCTAATTGCCTCTCTTTCACACACAAGAAGTTTTTTTGTGTGGAAAAAATTCTTAAGTATCTCCATCTCAAATCTTTTTAGCCTGAAGAGATAACCCAAAGATAAAAGAAAAGCCCATCAAGCTCTCATCACCTGGCAAACGGAGGATGAAGATATCAATTCCTTCCACATCCTCCTTACATATGACCAAATGATTCGGACATGTCCCTATCTACTTGGTGTTCAATGAGTTAAGCAATTAAACTGCACAAAGTGAAAGACACCACTACTCCAAACAAAGTAGGCCGTAAAATAAAAGATGGCTGCCACGTATATAGATCTCAAATTGGATTAACCAAAAACTTGTTTGCAACTACCTAATGCATAATATCAAACAAAGCTCAAAAAAAAAAAAAATTAAGCTTAACAATTTATTGTTTTAGACTCAAGCCTATTCACTCAGTTATTAAAGATTTAAAGTAATATTTACACAAAAACAAAGTCTTGACTAATTATTTTTCAATTAATGTAGTTTCAGATCAGCACGTGCCTAATGGTATGAACAAGCCAAGCTTTGAACATGAATTTGAAGTTCACCAAGCTTCAACAAGCTACTGTTTGGCATAGCTTGCCAGACATCTTTCTTATCTAGTTCCAAATAACACAAATACAAGGAATCATATTCCAACATGTACTTCTTCAACAGTATAGGTTCATCAAACCTAGATACTTTGTTTCCAAAAGTAACATCTTTGGGAAACCCTCACGTAAATCCTTCAATTCTATGCCTATGTTAAGCTCACCTTATGAATCCAACAACCTTCAACCTTTGATAAGCCCACCTTATGTGTAAAACCCCCTCTCATCACTTAACAATCTCTATAAAGAAACTCAATTTCATTCAAAAGCCCCACTCTTGTGAAACCAGACACCGGATGAAGGAACTAACTAAGTGTGATTGACATTTCCAGTTTAATACCATTTCCCATCTCAAATAAAGAATTAGATGTACCTGACCCCAAGAATTAGAGCTGCTTCCCTCCTGGTCATTTTAGGCTGGAAACCTCCTTCATAAAATTTACGCATTCTAGCAGTTGGTGGTCTTGCTTTGAATGCTTGCCAGGCCTGAATGCCATATCTACCAGCATAAGCGGCAGCAGCAACAGCAAGTCCTGCTAGCAATGGTGTACCCTGTTCCAAATTTCATTAAAAATTACTTTAGATGGCTAATAGTTATACATCAGCAAAAAGTAGTAGTAGTTACAGCAAATAATCTACCAATTCAACAAGATAACTACAACTTTCTGCATAAAAGAGATGCATAGTTTTGATGATAAAACCGTCTCAAGACAGATACTTCTATGAGAGGGAAAACATTATTCTTTAACAGTCAATAGATTGAGTCCCATGATTGCATATCACTGTCATTATAGTTAAATATACAGTACCAATATATTAACAAATATACCAAAAGAATTTGAGACCAGAACTTTTAACTTCATTAGTAAATCCTATGGGCTTGGAGATGGTTGGAGAGTTACAAAATAGGAAACTGCCCCTATATCCATAATAAATAAAACAAAAGGAAACACAGAAATAGGAAGAAAAAGGGTAATGAAGATTCCAGAATCTCACAAAAAATGCACATAACTGTGTAGCTATGGAGATGTAGGTCATCAACAACAGACCAGCTTTAAATTTCTTTTCCGAGAGGAACTTAGTTAAGGAGGCTTCACATTTCAGGATTTTCTTGCCCTTCAATGAGGAAGCGTTTTGCTTCAATTTACATATCATAGAGAAGTCAAGAATGTAAATGTTACAAGTAGTGGCGATAATAGTAGAGAATTTTCTATCACTATAGGCTTGTATCAACTTTGAACTTAAGTCCTTATCTTTCCTCTATAGTCATCAACAAGCTTACAGGACATATAGTTCTTTGGTGTATGTCATTCACTGATGACATAGTTTTAGTTGCCTAGAAGGGGATAATTTATGTCAGAATTAAGATTATTTTGGAATCTAAAGGTTATAATAAGAATGAACATGTGGAAGGTCATTTAGTGGAGAGACGATCAAGTGGTCCCAAAGAGTAGGTGTTTTAGGTATTCAGGCACATAGGCATTTATGGAAATGTTACTTCAGGAGGATATAATGGGTAGGCTTAGATTGGGTTTAATGATGCAAAGAAATACTACGCGGATTCATCACTACCTTCCCCTTCCCTCTATGCCACCACCGCATCCATATTTATTTATTCAAATTCCATTTGATCAGGTCAAAGTTCCAGAACTTCCGCCTTATTTATAAGCTCAGCAGTTCATGTAGGTTGAGCACCTCTTTGAAGGACATATGAAACATAGAATAACAGGAATATTTAAATAAGTCCAATATCTGATAGAAAAGTACCTATAGAGTTGAAAGGGAAGTCGTACAGAACGATTATTGAACCATCTACACTTTATGATAAAATCAATGTAGCAGAAATGAAGACGTTAAATTGGTTCAAGGCCCTCCTAAAATGAAAAAGATCTCGAGTGACATTCATTTAAGGATAAGACTCAGTTTTTTGATGTTGTTACCATCAATTTTCAATTTTTACTTGGTTCTTTCTACAAGCATGATGAATGGGACCCGATTTCAATGTTCAAAAAGCATAAAGCAAGAGCAGTGTTTCATTTCAATAAGATGGCAGCCATAAGTCATTAACAACAGCACAGGAGAGGGATTGTAGTTTTTGTCATTAAGCTGTTCCTCAATGGCCATAACAGAATAATCATAAAGTTCATGAATGAACAAAATAACAAGCCTAGGAAGAGCTTATTCAGGAAAAAATTCGTTCCTGATACAACCAATAACAATATATAAGGATATTGACATCCTAAGTGATTCTAGATTTTATCTTCTTTTTCTAGTTTCTTTTAGCTATAAGTTATTACCAACCAGCTTTAGATATCAAGTAATTCCTTTTCTCTTCTAGAGAAAATAAAATATTAAAAGTGAAACTTTGTGATTAACCATCTAAAGCATGAAACTAATAAAGGGCATAAAGGAAAGATGGGTGAACTTTCAATTCATAAACTAACATAAGGAATGAACTATAATCAGATATCTGACGATGAACTGCTGATGTATAGGCGTAAAATTTAGGTGCATAGAGCATCATGAATCAAATTATTTTAGACCCAAAAAAATAAAAAAGATAAGCAACAAATTATAAATAGAGTAAAAAAAATCTCTCTGTTCAAGCTGAAAGTCACACAAAGATCTCGTCTTCTAGACTTAGCATTACAAGAAAAATATGATATAGAATATCAAGCAAAGAACCAAATCAATACACCATGAAAATAACTAGTATATAAAGAGGCCCACCATTTGTACTCTTGAAATAGCTTTCTTCTCCTTTTCCTCCTCTAGCTCAGATATTTGTGCTCATAAATGAATAGGCAAATATGTTTTTTTTTTGGAGAATTTGAATTTGGCCGATATGATGAATCGGGTTTCTGAGTGCCGCGGCCGAGTATTTGGGAAGACGATGGTCAAGTGATGTGCACGTGCACTTTACGCAGCTAAATCTTGAAGAAGTTTCTAGGGATAAAACCCTCACTCACCGAGATTATAGACTTGTTTCAATTTGGTCACTCAACTTTTATTTGTCCCAAATTAGTCATATAACTTTAATTTGTTCAAAACTAGTGACTGGACTTTAAAGATTCGTTTCATATTGGTTACTACTTAGTCCATAATTGGGTTCCGTTTTAATTTTAATGCATTTTTCTCCCTCTTTTTTTAACCACATATTTTTCAATAAAATAATATTATACGTAAATTTAAGATTTAACACATTTTCAAAAAAAAAATCACTATTCCAAAATATATTTTTCCCTAAAAACTAATTTTAATGGAGTCCAAACAGAGTAGTTAGTCTCCATTGTAAAAAAAGTATTTTTAATCTAGCGTGTCAAATGGTCATACATTTTGCCATTTGTGGAGAGAGACTTTTAAGGACCGAACTGCTCTGTCAAACCTGTAAAAAGCCTGGCAGAGCAAATGTGAGATTGGGGGGGTTTAATGAGGTGGGTCCTCGGGACCCACCTCATGTGAGAGCAACTGCAAGCCTTTTACTGGCCTAGTAGAGTAGCATTATTCGACTCTTAAATAGATAAGTGCGCAAAAATATCTATTGTGGATAATTAATATGGAACTAATTAAATTGTAATGTGCAACGTGAAACAAATCTTTAAGTTAGATGATTAATTTGCAACAAATTAAAGTTTAGTGACCAAATTTAAAAGTGGCCTATAGGTTCAGTGACCAATCAGACTTTTTATCCAAGTTCCTAAATACTGATTCTATATGGGAAAATTATCAGTAGAGCATTGAAATTCTCAATCTTCCATTTATAGCATTTGAGACCTTGAACTTTCTATACTTCGATTTCTTTGAACGAAAATTATCTCACTCACTCTAGTTCTTAATGCTTTACCAACACAATTCAATGTGCTTAATAGCTTCGAGGGGCAAACGACATCTAGCTATCATTCATTGTCAACATAGCGTGTATCACCAAGGGTCACGCTATAACTTATATAACAATAGTGTACAATGCGTCAGTTCTCTATTACAAGTACTGTCACGAAGCACATCGCACTTAATTACACGATATACAACGCAATTTAATGTCCACTCATGCTTTCTCAAGCACCACTCAAGCAATTATTGATCTCGAGGCAATTCAGTATATACACACGATTTTATGGTACGATCACGATTATAGGCAACATATTGTTGAGCACATCAAGCTTGTAACATGGTTCAATCTTGCACATGCTTCTATCGATCACCACACAATCGAGCAGTTACCTATCTTTTACAACACAAGTTGAGTGTAAAATGCTTTGGCCAAAAAGCTTTAGGTGAGGCTCAAAGCAAGTCGACAAATACACTTAAAACAATTGGCACGTCATGCTTGTTGGAAAGCGTGGAGTGAAGACCATATCGAAAATTACATCTCCGTGCTCAAGGTAAGTTTGGTTCTTAATGTAGAAGACGTGCTCTGGAATGAAGAATTTTTATCCTCATTTTTCTTTGCAGGGAGAAGGTTCGAGTATGGAGCAAGGGGCAAGCAGTTGGGCAATTACACAAAAAGCCTATACTCAGTTTCCATCACTAAATAATCAAATTTTACCAAGTTAAATGTTGGAACATAGATGCTACAAATGGGAGGTTAAGGACAGAAAAGAAATGTCAATAAGAGTGCGAAACTTGTTGTGCACAAAGAACAAACAAGTTAGTCATATAACCACCAAACATAATTAGGTTCTCAAGAAATTATAAAAAATTGAACAACACCAATTGAAGAAAAGAATAAAAAGCAGTTCTGTAGCAAGACTCACACGAGAGACTGCTCTATATCAAACCAAATCAAGCCCTCAAAGCAATGAATAAATAAGGATTTAACTGTGGAACTTCACAAGATCAAATGATCCCTTAAATTGTTTTTCTTTGTTTTCATCTGTTGCTACTGCTGCATTATATGTTACGAAGCAAATCATTTGATCACTCCATTCACTTGATCATTGTCAGCAATGGAGGAGCTGCTTTCGATCTTTGGTGGGCCAGAATGCCGCCTTGGTCGGGTTGGTGAAATTGGGAAAGAAATACGTTTCTTCACTGATCCTGCTGGTGTGTTCTCTACCTGACCATTCTCGACTACTAGTGGACTCGACAACCTCAGCTTGGCCTTGGCCGACCGTGTCGGTGCCATGTAACTTGGCACCGATGGAGAACTTGCCAAACTCTCGTCATCTCTAATGGACGATCCAGCAATGCTGTGCCTCCTGTTCCTTTCTGATTGCAAACTGAGCATACTCCTCGTATCATTGTCTTGACTTGTTCCAATCCCCTTTGGACTAGCTTGTTTTAATGCCCTATTGGCAACTGAAGACGCTGTCTTTGACCGGGGAGTTGTTGGGGACAGGTGGCTGGCAGGACGAGCTGGTTTTTGGTTGACTGGTGAAGACGTGTTATCAGAGTTTAGCTGATGTCTAACGAAAGACTTGGTTATTTCTCCTCCAGCAATGCTCGGGATTGCACTTTTGATGGAAAAGCAATCACTATTGAGTTCCTTGTCAGCTGTGCTTTGTGCCTCGCATGACCGGGAGGCCATCCATCGCTCTAACCAGCTCCAACCCCAGTGAGGATTAGCTGGGTCCATGAACAGTAAGTTTGCTGACCTCGACATCTTCTTCCAGGTTTGCTGCTCAATAAGCAACAAGGATGCGACTTACAAAACATAAGTACAAGTAGAAAATGAAATAAAAACAGACATCAAAGCAGAGGCAGAATGCAGAAAGAGAAAGTTACTTTTGTATATATAGAACATTTTTCCAATTGTATGAAATGAAGAAATCCAAAATTGGACGAGAATTTTTCCAATTGCATAGTTAATTAAACGAAGACTAAGCAAAATTGGGGATTCCCAGCACTTTAATCATCCAATTGTCCTCATACTTCACTTTTATTTTCTTTAATTGCTTTTGTCACACTTCAATTTAGACTCTTAATAAGAAAACCGATATTGTAGTTTTAATTACTAATAGAACAATGCTCGTGGGATTCAACACTACTCATCACTATACTTGCAGGATAGTCGCATAGTGAACAGGGTACAGAAAATGAAGTAAAAAGGCAAACATATAAATAAGCACAAAAGAGTCCTGAAAAGTTTACGAGGACATGAAAATGAGTACCTGATGAGTATACGAATAAGCTAGTGCTCTTTCTCGCCTCATAGTAGCTTCATACTTGTGCAGTAAATTTGCCTCTATTTTCTCTTTTGATTGTAGACTATCATCCCACTCCTCCCCCATCTGCAACAACATATTAACCATTGCTACTAGGTTAAAGGACCAGAATAAGAATTTCAATAAATTATTAAAAATAAGTTGAATGAGCTAATCAAGAGATGTTTCTACAATAAAGGTCTTTATACACATGAATCAACTAACAAATAATGCTGTTCTGACCCTTGTATGTTTCTCATGAACTTCTTGATTTTTGTAGTGAAAATCACTAGTAAAATTTTATTACGTTTTATGTGGCTTACACTAATAAAAGAGAAAAAGAAAATGAAGATAAAACTATGATGACAAGCCAACAATTAAGCTTCTGTTAGGAATTTGAGGAGACGATATGGCGCGATATAAAGTATAGATCGCACAAACTAATAAACAAAAAAAAGATTTAAAAGAAAATAAACAAGAAGATGAAATTGACAGAGGAACCGAATATCTTATTAATAACAACCAATGGAGAGAAAATATAATTTTTGTCTTTTCTACTATCTAAAAGGAATGAAGATCTACTATTTATAGGAGACATGTCCAAACCCTAGAATTAACCTAAAATATGGAAATTAGGTTAAAAATCGCTTAAAACCGAAAAAGAAGGAAAAAATCCGTGGCCCATCGCTTCAGCGAGAGCGGGCGACAACTTGTTCCAATTTTGCTCCTATCGTTCGAGCTATAAGCGGGCGTCCGTCCGTCTAGCGCCGTCAATCCATCTTTTTTTTCCTTCTTGGACCCTATTTTGTCATCTTCAAACCCAATACTCCACAACGCGAAGCCCTAGACCCAATTTAGACCGGATTTGGGTCACAAAACCCAACAATCTCCACCTTGACACCAATTTTGGTGCAACGATTGAAGCTCCAAAATTTCTCCACCTGCAAAAATAAGTCCAACTGCAGCGAAAACACACTGAACTCTTCAACCAAAACCAAACCTTTCCAACACTCGAAAATACTTTTCCTCTTCCACTATATTCAAACACGGATACTAATGAACCCAATCCCAGGGTTCTCAAAATTCACAACCTAACCCCCGTTGAATACAATGGAACTGCAGACTGTGGTGGCAAAGCAGAATTACTCATATCCCTCAAACTCGACGGAGTAGTATTCTCCAAAATAGACCCAGAGCCAACTCCCAACGGTACCGTACCAAACTGTATATCCACCACGGTACCAAACGTGTGCTGATGTCTCTTCACTGATTCTGTCCAACCTTACGAGATGTATAACTGGGACTTTCTCCGCCCCTCCAATATAACACGGACACCTTTTCGGACCTTCAAGACTCCACCTGCTCCAGAGAACGTGTACCCTCTCGAATCCAGGGTACTCAGCGAGATGATGTTCTTCTTCAAGTCTGGAACATGTCAAACCGGCCCCAAGTGTTCTGATTGTTCCATCCACCAACTTCAATCCGACTCTCCCAATACCAGCTATCCGACAAGATTCGTTGTTTCCCATGACACCTTACGACACCGTTTCATATGATTCAAACAAATCCCAATTGGGACTCATATGAAACGCACAAGCTGTATCCAAAATCCACTCCTCGTAAGGCTTGGATTCCACGTCAGAAATCGTCAAAATATCTCCCTCACTTAGAAAGTTCTCTGTGATGTCTGCTTCACCCAAAGTCTCTGATTGCTTCCCACGATTTGCAGCTGAATTATCCTTACCCTGCAACTTTTCGCAATCCCTCTTGATGTGTCCTTTCTTCTTGCAGTAAAAGGATACCCTATTGATGAAATCTACCCTCGACTTGCCCCTTCGCCGATCACCATAAACCACAAGAACTTCAGCATCTCTAGAACCAACTCCAACCAGATGCTTCATCTTCTCCTTTGAGAACAAGGCATCATACACATCTTCAATGGTGAGTGTGTCACAACTGTAAAGAATCGTGTCCCTAAACGATGAAAACGAATCAGGCAGCGAGCACAACAAGATTAAGGCCAAGTCCTCTTCATCATATTTTACCTCTAACGTCTCCAGATCAGCGACGATCTCCTTAAACACAGCCAGATGATCTTTCAGTGATCAGCCTTCTGCCATGCGATGAGAATAAAACCTCTGATTCATATGCAATTTGATGGTTAGGCTTTTGGTCATGGACAATTACTCCAGTTTCAACCACAATGCAGTTGTTATCTTCTCCTTCAATACGTCCTGAAGAATGTTGTTAGATAGATGAAGATGAATCTGCGAAATTGCCTTGCGATCCTTCCGTTGCTTCTCCTTTGTTGTCTAAGTTGTGGTTATCTTATCAAATCCCAACAAAGCATCATCCGAATCCATATGCGCCAATATAGCTCTCATCTTCACTTGCTACAACGAAAATCTTGTACTGCGATCCAATAGCGAAATATCATACTTCATGGTAACTATCGATAACAAAAAAAAAAACTCAAACAATCAAATCCTTGTTCAGCAGAATTGCTGAACCATGGGTCTAATACCACTTGTTAGGAATTCGAGGAGGCGATATGGCGCAATATGAAGTATAGATCGCACAAACTAATAAACAAGAACAAGATTTTAAAAAAAATATAAGATGAAATTGGCAGAGGAACCGAATATCTTATTAATAACAACGAATTGAGAGAAAATACAACTTCTGCTTTTCTTCTATCTAAACTGAATGAAGAGTCTACTATTTATAGGAGATATGTCCAAACCCTAGAATTAACCTAAAATATGGAAACTAGGTTAAAATGCGTAAAATCGAAAAAGAAGGAAAAAATCTGCGGCCCGTCGCTCGAGCGACAGGCGGGCGACGAACTCCTTGTTCCAATTTTACTCCTATCGATCGAGCTATAAGCAGGCGTCTGTCCGTCCCGCACCGTCAATTCGCCTTTTGTTTTCCTTCTTGGACCCTATTTTGTCATCTTCAAGCCCAATACTCTACAATGTGAAGCCCTAGACCCAATTTGGACCGGATTTGGTCACAAAACCTAACAGCTTCTAGAAATGTAAAAATAAAAGATAAAAAAATGAAGATAAAACTAAGACGACAAGCCAACTACTAAGCTTGTAGAAATGTAAAATACAAGCAAGAAGGATGTTGGAAGAATACAGCAGATCTGGTCAAACATTTACTTGGAATATCTCCTATAGTGCTATTTGCATAAGATTATATTATCCCATATTCAATGAAATTTGTGTGGAGCAAAGTTATCTTTCTTCTTACTTTCTTCTCTTTATCCACATAATGTTTCCAAGAAATACACACCTCAGCTGATAATTGGCATTAAAGTCATCACAACGCAAATGCACTTAAGATGGATAAACATCAGAAAAATAAGAAAAGAACGGTATAGGGAAGGAAAAAAACCCAACCCTGAAGCTCTCAATCTCCTTTGCATGTTTCTGTAGAAGCTGTCTCTGGAGTGCCCGATTTTCCTCTGACATCTTGATCCTTCTGGACTGAATCTGAGACTGCACTCGGGATACAGTTTGCATGCATTTCAGAGTGTTTGTAGTTTGGCGTTTGACCGTTGGCCCATCAACGAGTGATTTTAGTCTGACAAGACCTCTCAAAGCCCGCAATGCTCCCCTTGCCTGGAAGTTATAAATGCAGAGGCAAACCCATATCACAAACTTCATTCTCCCCCAAACTCAAAACTAGTATTCAATAATTACAAAGTAAAAGGAAAGAAATAGAATTTTTGTAATGCAGGTACAACTGTGAGCAATCAAAACTTTAGCCCGTGTACGGTGTATGGCTGGTGATTACATCAAAATAATATCGAAGGATTGGAATTTGTCCTAACTTCATAATTTTTGTCTTAGGCTGAACTTCATCATGTCTTTATGTATCATGGTCAAATAATGAAAATTTTTCTAACGAGTGTATATCTTTTTGGGCAATGTGAAATTTGTCTCCCACCAAAAAAATTATTATTAACTATGGCCAATTCAATCCTGCAAAATGACTGTAATTTTCTTTTCTTTTCTTTTTTTCTTTTTTTTAAATTTGTCCTTTAGGCAAATCTAGGCAAAGTTGACGAGGAAGACTAGAGTATCTAAATGGACTAGAACCCCTCATCAACTTTGCCTGGTTTGACAAGAATGCCTACATAGTTCAAAATTCGTGCAAAAAGAAGAGAATCGAAATGGACTAGAAATTCTCATCAACTTTGCCAAGTTTAACAAGAATGCCTAGATGGTTAGAAATTTGTACAAAAAAAGATTATGTAATACTTTTGGAAAGATAAGGGTATATTTGTCAAAAAATTCAATAAAATGACATTATTTAGAAAACGAAAAGTGGCGGATTCGTTTCACTTTCTCTCTCGAAAAGTGACATCCCCATCTAATTTCCTCTACAAATAATACTTTAGATCCTTAACCACCTTAACATCCACTTAATTTATTTATATGCACAATATTATGTTTAAAATTTATATCTACAACTTTATTAGAAGACATTAAGTTTAACCTTGTCTCAGTTGGCACTTGTCTAATTCTATTTCTTGTTTTTGAGGCAAAATCTTCTTTGATTTCTTGCCGAAGTAATTGATATTCATTGACGTATTGATGTATCAAGTGTAAAGAAAAGCACTGAATTACCTTGCTGTATCAAGGAATGCAGATCTTCTTAAGGAAAAAAACATTTAATTGATTTAGCTTCTAGACATTTAAGAATTATAATCATGTATTGTTCACTTTTCACCCAAAGAAACAGATTAAATCAAGACCCTTATCTCAATTTTTTTCCACCCTGAGAATTTTTCATGTCCATCCAGTCAAATCCAATTGAGGAAGAAATGTTAATTTATAGAGTAGCATACCTGGTAACCACGGAAAGCAGTCTGGATTCTGATAGCTGCCACATCCTCCTCTGATTTTCCAGTGAATTGAGTCGCTGTAGTAAGTCGAACGACCTTGGCAGCAGCCTGTGCAGCTGCTACAGCCGCTTCAGCTGCTGTAGCAGTAGCAACCTCAACAGAGTAAGCATGTTCTGTCTGCTCATTTTCCACTTCAGCCACTTTCACATCTTCCAAGGAAGGATGATGTACTTGGGTAGCCTCCAGAATCGGAAAGTCTGAAACTGAAGGCTTTTCTTTCCCAAACCATTTCTTTTTTGATTTACTTCCTTTCTGAAAGTTGTTATGTAATAAACATTAATCACTAATTCAAGAGCAATAATAAGCACACAGAAATCACAAAATACAATCACAAATTTTCATTGGTTCACCCTCAGTAAGAGAGCTAGAAGCACTCAATTTAACTGAAAATTGAGAAGTATAAAAAGGAGATTATCCTAATATAAATATTAGGATAATCTAATACAATACATCGATATCCGATATACCCTATTAAAAATTTTAGGTGGATCCATAGTCGGATGGATAAGTTAAAGAGTATAATTAGGTTCCACATAACCAACAAAAATATGAGAAAATATCAAATGCACATCTAAGTCATTGGCTCATCAACACTCAGACTACGTAAACAACCCGAAGAAATTATGATGTACTTTGAGCAAACCTGGGCTTTCTTTTTCCTGGAATTGGCACTGAGGGCTTTCTTTACTGATGAAAGCCAGCTCTCTTTCCTCCCCATCTTTTTATCATATATCGTCAATTCGTCCTATCCTGAAGTCAAAACAATTAATAATTGTTTTTAAGATTCCATCTTAACCATGTAAAGACAATTCTAAGCACGGTGTAAATATTATGACAATGCAATAAATGACAATTCAATTCACATTTAATACATTTGATCAAGAATCAAATCTAGATTTCCCCCTTTCCACACCACAAAAAAAGGTAGTGAACGCGGTCTTGTTACTAAATATGCAAGCAATGAGTCTACCATATTTCTATACCATATACATTGCTCCACAATTATGACATTATCATCTCAGAGCAACTGATATCTGAAGTGAAAAAACCCATATTTCCAACAGATAGAATTTGAAGAAAAATCAATGATTTTTTTCAGGAAAATGGAGGAGCATATAATGTTAGCAACAAGAACATGACATTGTAATGTTCACGTGAAAAATAAAGCAGGAAATTACCTAAAATGGGAGTTCTTCAGATATCTGAGTACAAATTTTTTGCTTGTTTTTCCTCAACCTCATAGTCTTAATTCAAATATCTGTACATAGAAACACAGAAATAGAACAACGGAGTTAATAATTTGGACCCATTTCTTAGTGCATTAGTGTGTTTGCTTATTTGTAGTGAGAAAAAGAAGAGAGGGAAACTTTCCAGATCTTGACACTGCACAGAACAGTTCAACGATTGGGGAAGAACAGGGAAGAGTAATAACTGATTTTGCCAAGTGACCCACACCTTTAAAGCTGGAGAGTGTAGCCGTGTAGGCCCTCACCTTAATTATCAGATTCCATGTTTATTATTCGTTTTAGGTGCCTTTACTACTATAGTAATGTTGCTTACTGTACACGGCACCCCTTTTCCATAAAGCCTCCATTTGATAGGGATTGAAATATGATTTTTCATAAATTTTGATAAAAAACAATGAAATGTGTCGTTGAAAAGTTGTCAAATTCATAAAATATGATGTTAAAATTAATTTTTGATTTTAACTTATATTAAAATTGAGATTTTAATCAGTATCAGACAGGGGCAAAATAATATCTTGATTCTTAGCATAACCCGACAAATACTTTCAGGGAGATAAATATTTCTTTTAATTACGAAAAATTGTATATTTGATCCCAACCTTTAAAAATGGCTAGATCTTCTCACAATCTTTAAAAATAGCACCAGACATCGCCAACGTTTGAGAAAATATGCATGATAGGTCCCGAATAATAGAATATGTCCATTTGGGTATGTAAGGTTGAGTAAAAAGACAAAATTATCCCTCTAAATAAAAAAATTAAGAATGAAAAAATAACCAAATGTGCCAAAAAAATGAAGAATAACAAAGGGGTCATCTTCTCCTTTCATACCACCCACGACTAACCACCAAAGCCACAACCACCTACGCATTGACCACTGCTATAACCACGCACTCCAGCCCAACTCGCCACCAGTCTTGTCGGTTGGTTGAGTGTAGATAAACATGAAATACCTTATCACAAACTCAAATGAGGTCTCGAATTCAAACTCAAAAATATTGAAATTGTACTCACTATACCCGTTTTAATATATACTTAGGTTTGATGGCATGTTTGATATAAAAGTTTTCGAATATATTTTGCGAAAAATAATTTTTTGAATAATGTGGTTTGAAAGTATAAAAAACTATGAGTTCACCCACTGAGATGATGTGCAGTTAAATAAACCTTGTTTGAGCCCTCTACCTTTAAAAACTCACGATGCGTTTGATTTGATATTTTCAATTTTACGAAACACTGAAAACGTGTTTTGTCTTATATTTTTGAAAATATATTTTCAAAAACTCGTGGAAGGAAGGCTGAAACTTTGCCCCAATCAAGTGGAACTAAGGGTGCGTTTGATTGCAATGGTGGAAAATGGGTGGAAAGAAAATGTTTTACAGGGAAAAGATTTGCCTAAAAAATGTTTTGTAGGGAAAATGATTTCAAGTGTGTTTGATTGGTATAATTTTCCACCTAGAAAATTTTTAAATTTTCTATTCGTTTGGCTTTGTTTTATATGGAAATTGTCCATTAAAGTGATATTTTTTTCCACAATTAGTTATAAAATTTGTTTCTAT